GGGCCACAGAGCTGTCATTGTATTTGCACCCAGGGTCATCTCTGATTATTTCAATGATATCTTCAGGAGAGATGTTTGTTGTATTTGAGTTGCTTATGATATCACAAACTTTGGTGATGTAGTCTGATTCGTTGGTGTCCTTGAGACCAAATAAGATGGCATTTGGATGTTTCTGTTCACGTTCCAAGGTGTCTCTGATGAGTAAGGAGATATTATTTGTGGAATTATTTGATGGGATAGTTTGTGGCTGTGGTTTGGTGGTTATTTTTGGTTGTAGTTTTGATTGTAGTTGTAGTTGTTGTGGGATTTTTAGCTGATAGGTACTCACTTATCTATGCTGTATTTTTTTTTCAAGAGAGATTAGGCTTGCTTGTATAGTTGTTTCAAAACGTGTTGCTAAGCGTTCTTCTATTGAGTGAGTGATTCTATGCTTTCAACTCTGTCAGGCAGGGTACTCAGTTTGTTTAGCTTAGGAGAACATGATGGACATAGATAAAAGAATGTATCTGAATTTTTAACCATATCAGCTAGGCTTTTGTTTGCGTTTAAGCAGGCAGGGTGGGCTAGATTGTCGCAGAGGCGGCATTTGATGTAAATTTCGCTTTCGTTGATGGTTTCAAGACATCTGAAACATGTGCAGGAGTCTGGGAGGTCATTGGTAGAGATATTTTTCTTTTGTTTTGGTTTGGAGTTTTTGGCTGGAATGGTCAATGGCAATAGTACACTAATCAATTACAATAGCTAGTTAATGTGATAGGTAGACAGTTACTTAATGAATGTTGGTAATTAATAAATGTTAATTGATATGTTAGAGAACAAATCAAAAGTAAGGTTACTTATTACTAAAAATCAATCAATCAATCAATTGGTTATTCAAATCACTCTAATCAAATAATTTTGCTAAGTAACAAACAGCCTTATTTATTACAGTAATTACGAAACACACTGGTCAATTAAATTCACTAAATCACTGATTTTACTAATCAGATATTCAGTAATTATACTATATGCACTAAAGGCTCAATCATACTAATCAATAAAAACAATAAATCAATTAATCACTTGATAAAAATTAATTATTTTAAAGAAATTGATTTTTACCCTTTGCATTGTTTTCAAGCAACACATTCAGAAATTCATGGATTATTAATTGATTGATTAATTGATTATTAATTGATTATTAATTGAGTAAGTAAATGTCATTGGATTAATTTAGAAATCATTAATATACTTTTTATAGTGATTGTTCTCCATCCATTATGTTTTCTATTAGATAAAATAATAACTATTATGTTTTTTGAAAGCATTGTTTTTAGGTGAATACATAATTCTTTCAATTAGTCTGATAATAATTGGTTTCTTAAACTTAAGGTATTTCGACTTCATTTTTTGTATTGCTTTAAGAATATTTTTGGGATAACTGTGTTTTTATTAATAAGTTTCAGCTAATATTAAATACGAAGTAGGGAGATAATGTTGTTGTATAAAAATACAGAGAATAGAATAGAAGTAGAAATGAGAGAATAGATATTGACTTGTGAAATATGCTATGGCTCAAAAAATCTAAAAGATCTAAAAAGGGGAAAATTAGAATATATTGTATATTGAATATGCCTGAGGCATCTTACAGTGGTTGCTGCAATTCACAATATAAATTGTAACTAAGTGTCAGTTTGCTATATCAGTTAAAGCATCAGCATGGGAGATTGTGAGTTCTAGTCCTGTCTTGGGCGCGAAGCCAACTGAATAACCTTGGCCAAGTCAGTTTCTCTCAGTCTTTGGAAGGAGGCAATGTGGCAAATCACTTCTGAAAAAAACTTTGCCATGGTAGTTTCCAACAGTTAGAAATGATTGAATGGAAGAAAAAAAGTTACAATTAGTAGCATAGTAGCATTGTATAGACCATGTATTTTTTCAAAGCTAGAATCGCAATTTCATTTGTTAATAGGAGTATCTCTGATTCAATACCCTGTTTCTCCAACAATACAGCCTCCCCCAATAGGAAGTCCCAGCATGTTTTATAGGCATGAAATGAAATTAAGCCCCTCCCCCCAAATTAAGGCCTATATTAAAACATGCGAAATGGGGGGGAATGGTGGGGGGGCTTGCTGTTAGGAAGTACTTTTGTTGCACACCCAGATATGGTGCTGCCGGTGTTGACCCCGATACTAAGTGCCTCACCAATGCCGAGGTCAACATCCAAGCCGTCGCCGCCCACTCGCCCAAAGATGCAAGGGGGGGGAATTAAGTCACCCCCGAAAAGACGGCCTAGCCATTTTTTCGGGGCTCAAAAAAAAAAAAGACCCGGCCTTATTATATGAGAAACACGGTATAACAAACATTGTTTGGGGTAAATGTCTATGGAGATTCTCATCCAGGTCATGGTTGTCCCAAAGGTGCTTTTCCCAAAGGCAACTAGACTTTATTGGTTTTTTTTTCTTTGACAATGTTTTGCTTCTCATGCAAGAAACAGCTTTTGAAAAGCACCTTTAGGACACTGGAGTACAAGCATAAGTGAACATGTCTGCAACTCCTTAAAGCAGCTATTTCTTTTCCTGAGATGATTAGGCTGCAAATTCCTGGGAAGAGCTACATTTTGTTTAAGGAGCTACAAATGCTATATTTACGTTCTCATATTTGCCAGAACACTTGCCCATCTCTGGGTCAACTGCCAAACCAAGTTCTCTAAAATGTAATCGTGACATACCTTAGCCAAATACCTAGGATGTTTCTGTCTCTCCTGCAGTAATCATTTTTTTCTTTTACATCATTTTTTTCTTTTACATCCATCTTTTACATCATTTTTTTCTTTTACATCTTTCTAATTTCTATTTTTAGAACTAGTAATTCCTTTGAACTGTTTCAATGTTTTGAGCTTATTAAATCAGCCATTTGTATTATTGAGACCAGTGTTTATTGTTCTTTGAGAACAATTTGAATTTGTAGCTTCATTTACAGAGCAGATAACATCCTTCTTTACTTTAAGGACAATATTGATTTCCATTGAAGCAAACATAAAATACTTTTTTTAAATACAAAATGTTAGAATTCACTAAAAAAGGTTAAAATTGAAGTGACTAATCTTTGGCACATAATCCGCAATTGTTAATTTTAGCTCAGTGCGTAGGAGCTGTTATAAGTTGAACAGCTTGCTCTAGCCTTCATTAGAGAAGAAGCACAGTTTTTGAGACTGGTGGAGCTGGATCAAGCTGTGAAAGTGATTTGCTTAAAGCTGGTCATTAGGGTTATAAATCTGGTCTCTTTATTTTATCTTTTAATTTTAACTATGATTATAACTCTTATTATTGATTTTATTCTTTGTTCTTTTTTCCTTTCTTGCCAGGTTGATGACAGTGATCTGTCAAATTCTATAAAGGAACAGCATGGAAACTGGCATCCTGAATTGTTAATGGGGTCATGGCATTCACATTGTCATCGATCACTTGTGTGGATTTAACCACTGAGAAGCAACAGAAGCTGAAGGGAAGGTATCAAGAATTACTATTGAAGGTAATTCACACCTTTGTATCTACCTAATGGCAGTAGCTTTTGTCTATGCGTGCACCTGTATATACATGTTGGATTTTGCATGAATATAATTGCTAGAGTACATACCAGATCATACAATTTGTAGAATTCATGCTAATTATATTTTAAATTATATTTTAAACTTAAAACTATTTAAAATTATAAGAAAGAATCTAGATATTAATTTTGATATAAATGCTTATTAGTTACAAAGAGATGTTATTATCCCACCCCACCCCCAAAAATTGTGCTAATAAAAATGACTTGTTGATTTTATAAATTTACATTTTCATTTATTTCTATTTTGTCACACTGCTCATACAAAGAACTGCAAACCTTGAAAGGAAGAGTGTTCTTAGTCCTCTTAGTCCTTAGTTCATTTACAAAATCATGTTCAATTTTCTGAATTTCTGACCACAGTGTATGCTATACATTTTCTTTTAAAATAAACCAGAACAAAGATTAGAGGCATCTCTTCAGTATGAATTACTGTTTACAAAAGAAACACAACAAAATTTATATCTATCAAATAACCATCATTATATAGGCAGTAGGACAAATAGTAAAATTTGTTAAGAACATATTGTCTTTCTCCAATATATTTTCCTTCTTACTTTTTTTTTTCTTTAAAACATAGTGGGTGAGAAGAACAAAAAGTACTAAATTATTCATGAGATATATTTGACAACCAATCAGTATGGAGGTATCAGAGTGGTATTTTATGAATATTTTTAATTTTAAAAGCTATGCTGAAATTCTGTACAAATAACTTGTGAAATGAGAGCAAAGCGTTGCTTTTAAGATCTTCATGAGAGCTATCTAATAAGAGTTTCTGGGAGGATTTTAACAGTATGGGAGAATGAGATGGGATTTGGAAAGGGCTTTTTAATTTTATAGTGGAGCTGTCAGTTTGATGTCTATCCGTGAAGAGTATGAGATTTTTAATGCCAAGTGAAGAATTAATATTTTTATTGAGTCATTATTTCTTTAAGATTGTCTTTCTTTCTTTCTTTCTTTCATATGTGTGCACATATGAATGATTGAATGGGTTGGTATGTGCTGATTCCTTTTCTTTTTCAAAAGAGATTGTATAATAGAAAAATGTATATTTCTTGCCCTGCCACACCTAAATTGGTTACTACTTTGTGGCAACATCTTCCTGGTGAAACTTTTCTTCCACATGTGCAAATTTTGCAACTACAGAATGAAAGATGAGGGAGATAAATAAAAATCTTCATTTTTCTGTTCTTTATTGTGATTATTTCAGTTAATCCAAGCTATTTGTTCATGTTTAAACTCTTTAGCCTTCACCTAGAATTCTTCAATCCACTACTGTGTGAATTGTACTGAATTCTGTTGGGTTGTATTATGCAATAAAATGGGAATAAAGTGATATAAATTTCTGCCTGTCTATTGTTTGTTTATGACTTGACATTTTAGGTCATTAAAAACTTTTCTTTAAATTTCTGAGAATGTCTGAGCAAGATAAACTAGAAGAAGTTGGAAATGAGCTAGACTCAGCTCTCTCTCAACCAGAGAATTGCATTCTTAACAAAACAGAAAGTTCAGAAGTAGATGAAAAAGAAGGATATGGCAAATCAGACCAGGTAATAAGAATTGGCATATCTTTTCTAATAAAGCTGAATTCCTTTTCTCATTTTAATTTTATTAGATATTATAATTTTAGATACCCTTTGTTCATTTTCAAATATTAGTATGTGGTGAATGCTTCTGAAAGATTTGCTAATATTCGCTAACATGCTAACATACATAACAAGAAAGAAATAGGATAAAAATTAGACGCAGAAATTTTTATTTAATCTGGACCATATAAATAAATTTACTAATATAGAAACAAACACCTTTATGCCTTAATAGTATCAGTGACAGAGATAAAGGCAAATTATTTGATAGCTACCATATGAAGTGCTATTATTTTTATTATGCATATTTTCTACTAATACATTTGAATGTGTTGTCACTTGTTTTTCACAGTTACAAAGTGTTAACCAGAACCAGCAGAAAAAGAGATTCAAGGTAGAGGTTTTGTCTGGTTGCTCAGAATTGCAATAAGTTGGCTTGGGATAAAATTTTACATTACAGGGCTGGTAATGAAAGTTTATAACTTTCATTTAATTTATGGTTGCAGATTTTTATTTAATTTTTGCCTCAGTACAGTTTGCTGCTCTTTTAATGAATTGATTTGTGTAATTCTGCTATTTAAGGGGGGAAATTACATTACATTTATTTTTTCTTCTCTTGCCAAACTTCATGCTTTCATGCTTACAGATGCTTTCAGCTTACAGATGTCTAGTTTTCAAAGATGGAAAGAGACAATTAAACTATACTTTCTTATATAAATATATAAATTAATTTGTTGCAGATAAGTATCATGGTTTTGAAGATTCAAACTTTTGATGAAAGTTTACATTGTAATTTAATCAAGTTTTTCAAAAGTACTGATTTATTTTTCAGATATCCTAATTTCAATTACTCATCCATTATTCTGAGAGCAGCTGAGCAGTTTATTCTTGCACACCAGTTAATCTCTTTTTTAGTTTTATCATCTATGCATGTATGTATGGATATAAACATACATACATGCTATTATATTATTTGTTTAGAAATTACTTTACTTCTCTATTTCAGTCGGGAGGAAAGGGGAAACTTGTACGAAGCCTTGCTGTTTGTGAAGAATCATCTCCTCGTCTTGAATCAGACACTGACAATCAGGTATCTAAAACAGTTTTCTAAGCAGCATGAATAATTTTCCTTTTCCTGTGCATGATAACAGTGTACATTTATAAAAATAATAATTTGGGGGAATAAAAATGGCTTTTCACATGAGCATACTTTATTTTTAATGTTTTTAGTATATTTCTTTGATATACATGATCAACAGTATATCACAGGGTATTATTTGCTCTTTTTTTCCAGAGCCCCTGAAAATTTCAACAATCAAAAGGAATTCAAAAGAATTCAGATTAATATTTTTTTTGAAAAATCAAAAAGTTATAATTGTTATTTTCTCTAAGGCTATCTCCTTTAAGGATACACCAGATATAAGATTGAATCACTCTGGCTTCTAAGTCATACAAAATCTTCATAGAAAATCTTATTGTTTTAGTTTATAGTTACAGCTCAATTTTTGACCCTATAAATAATAGTAATCTATAAAAAAAAGTGCATTGTATTCCAGATGGTTTATTTTTCTGATTCCTGGAACCAATCTTTCAATATTGCAAAATATGTATTTTATGAGTCTGTAGTAGTATTGTATGATTTAAGTAAAAAATAATAATATATTTCAGAATTTTGTCCATTTTTCCTTTAGCACTTATTGCAAAAAACTTACATTTCTATTTGCTTAAAAACATAAATTTAACAAACACAGAAACCAAAAGAAATTATTTCTTACTTGAAAGAAAATTATTTTTCTCAACCTTTTTTACTTGAAGATTCAGATATTAATTGAAGAATGAGATCGGCCCTAGAGAGGGAGAGGAATGATGAAATGAATGTTCTGTTAGCTCTGTTAGCACAAACTTCTGTTAGCACAAAAATCAAATCACAGTTAAGTGTACTTTTTAAAAGTTTCCTCTATTAACTTGAATTCACTTCTCCTCTGGAGAGGTTTTTTTTTCTCTGTCTGTTTTTTGAATGACCAAAATTCACTGTTCCATATCTTAATAAGCTGTGGGGATTTTATATATTCTCTTGCTGCACTAAGATGATATTTATGCAGTATAACAATCAACAGGTTCTTTTATCAATTGTGGGTAGTTATTTTGAAAATGATTCAAATATTTGGCTCAACTTGCTTTATTATAAATGTATGGCTTTTGTTATGCATTTTATTTGTATTTTTTATCATGTCAAATGGAATCTGAAAGGAGAAATATATAAATATATCAGATTGTACTAAATGTTGCATGATAGTTTCTGATGTTTTCTCTACAAATGAAAAAAGAATGTTATATTCTATAGGGATTAGCAAACTTAGAAGCAAACATCTTTTCTATAATGCCCCAGTGCCATTTCTTATCGTCCTTACTTGACTCACCATAACATATCACTCCAAAATGCAAGGATTAAGTATATTCTCCTACCAAAGCTGCATATTGAGGATAATTGGCTTCATATATTAATTAAATAACAAATATACTATTTGGTTTAAAGACTGATGAATTTTCCATAGAAAAGTTAGATCAGTATATTCATTTCATTGATTGAAGGAACCTGGAAGAGTTATATCAATGGAAATGGATTCGTTTTAAAGTTAAGTTGGATTTTTCCTTATTGGTTTACCTAGCTGTTTACAAAGCACAGAGTAAGTCATCAAAAAATGTATGGTACATTGCCAGAACTATAGAGTATGGATTGTACTACAAACCTGATGTTTGTATTATATTTGAAAATTTGCCTTGATTTTCCTGTGCAGGAAAAATCTTGTTTACCTGTATTACTTGATCAAAAAGTTTACCTGATCTCACACTCTGTCCTTATTTTAAAAGGAATGTGGCCTCTAACATTGTTATATTGGCTTATTGGTGTACTACTGCAATTCAATATTTTGTGTTTCTTACGCTTAACTTGTATGAATGTACTTATCAACGTTGTAATTTTGTGATTGAAAAATGTCAATAAAAAACAAATATAAGAAACAAACACCGGATTTTTCAACGACTCTGCAGTTTTCCTGTGTGTTTATTTCTAATGCAAAGACTATATAGTGATGCTATGTTATATGTATGACGTAGAATATATACAATGCAGTATGCTTATATGTTTGTATTAAATTGTTTGTAGTCTGTCTTTCCCCCCATTTTTTTTGTAAAACAGCAAGTGCACTTAGGAATCACTTTGACTTTAGCATAAACAACTGGAGATGTGAAAGTCAGTTAAAACTTTTTCCATTAAGTTCCATGAATATCATTTCAGTGAGTCTTAGCCCACAGTATTGGATTGTCTTCAGCAGAAAAGCATTTAGTTCTTCCTTTTCCCCTGACATGCATAATATAAAAAAATACTTTAAAAAGAAAAAACATTGAGCATAGATTAAATTTGTAAGTATTTACAAAAATGATTATACTATTTCATAAGTTAATTTATTTAGTAGAAAGCACATTTGAGTTCAAATTAGTACAGCTTCATGTAAATCTTCAAGCATTGCTAATACAAATAAAATTAGCACAGAGCTTCTCTGATACTGCTCCAAAGTACATGTAACTGGAAGCATGCTAAATATTTGAGAAAACTTTAGAATCAACGCAGAAATTCATGTTATATTTTAATTTACATTTTAATTAATAAGATTGGGCGTAATTTGAACTTTTCATTTATCAACATTAGTTATAGATATAGAATAGGCCTTTTTCAAGAAACAACACATTAATAATTCCTGGTCTAAAATAAAATTAACCATACATATGAACATTGTCAAGTTCTGATTATTACATTCCTAATTTTAAGTACACTTAATTAAAAATGTCCTGTATTTTTAAAGAAATTGAATATTGTCTATTTTTTCCATTAATTTTTTCAATCAATTTTCACTGAGGTGAATTCTGATTTCAGTGTCATTTTAATATAAATAATTTATAGTTAACATCCTAGGAATAATCTCTTTATGCTTTTATTAGGCATTTTATTTAAAATGATTCTTATTGAATCTATTGCAATATACTGCAAACAAATGAAGAACTATACATTAATTTTTTTAAACTAAATTCTGATTCTCAATAATACCGACTAAATTATTATACTCAGTGATACTGTACTATCCAACCAACCAAAAATTATCCCTAAGAATACATTATATTTTCTTAAGATTAAGTGTATCAAATACTGTTTGGCTCCAGCTTTTCTAAGCTTGCACTTTCCTATGCATTTGGGAAGCCATGCCAGTTTTCTTGAATCTGGCCCTAAATTATTATATTTTTTTCAACAGGAATCAATACAGCTACAGCTTTCAAACTTCCCCAACCTACGAGAAGAGGATAAATCTAGTAAAGATGAATCTGAGAAAGGAAAAGAGAAGGATAAAAACAAAGAAAAAAATAGAAACAGTGAAAAAAACAAGATAAGAATGTTATCAAAAGGTGAACAAAAGTATTTAAGTCATTATTTAGTCATTTATTATAGTCACATGGAGACATTTTGAATGTTGTATTTACTTTTGTCTGTATTTGAATTAGTTTGTATTTTTTATATTCTGTACTTGTTTGTGGGATTGTGGTATATGTATAGTTTATATATTAAATGTAGAATACATATATATTGGTATATAACAAATGTGATATACAAAACAAATTCTCTTTACAACTCTCTTTACATCTGAAATATGTGCTGAAGGGATATTTTAAACTTTCAAAGTCATAATAATTTTGACAATATGTACACCCATATAAAGAGACTTAAATAAATACATAAAGTGGAAAAATTTGTTCTCTTCTAAGGAATACATTAATCTTCCCCAAAAGTTTTTTGAGATCAGCCATGGCGGACCACAGCTTTTGCAGTTTGCTTCCTTCTCTTTCCCACCATAGAGATGCTGCTGTATTGCATCATCAAAACTGAAAATATATGTAATATTTTTCATAAAAATGATATACAAATGGCTCATTAGGAATAGTATAATAGAAAGTATTATTTGTAAGTCAATGCATGATATATCCTATCTACATATTTTCAACCTGATACTGAAATCCATAAGTAGAGTTTATATTAAGAAGAGAAGTGGAAGCAGGGCAGGGACAGTGTGAAACGAAAGAAGAATACACACTAACTGAGTTGTTGCTTAGAGGAACCTATACCCTGTGCTTGTAGACTTTTCTATCCATTATTGAAAGTGCTCCAGCATAGGAACTTATTGATGTAATAATAGTTTGCTTTGCATGTGTTATCACTTATTTAACAGAAGCATTACCACTTTCTTCCTTGACAAATAATTTCTTGTTTTTAGACTTTTTCACACATGTTACACTGCATAATTGTAATTAATTATTATAAATGTCACATATGTAAAATATAAAAAGTAACATAGAGGTGACTATCTAAAAAAATTTCTAATTGCAGTGAATTTATCCTCTAATTGAGGTGCACAGTAGTGACTTCTTTTTATGCATCCAAGAAAAAAAGCTTAAATCCCAGGTTTTTGGAATGTCCTTCATTCAAACTTGCTATCCTTTCAGCTAAAGTGTGTTGGATTGTGATAGCTAAGAAATGTGTTAAAATCCAGCTCCTGTAGTTGCATTTATAAATTGTCCTTAATATTTTATGTTACTTTCATTTTTTAAAAAAATTATGATTATATTTTCATTTTGTATGCTATATCAATAAATTCATGTTCTATTACTATGATAACTTTCAGCATAAAAATGCCATAGAAATAAATAGTATATAAGATTATCTGCTTGAAATATCCAGTCCCGACAAATGATGATGTCATAGGCTACCTGAATGAGATTTTTATTTTGTTTCAATCTAGCACTGATGTGCTGACAGTCCAATTTAAATAAATACATTGAATCTTTACAGTAGTAGTAATTTATACCATAACTAACTAGAATCTATATGCATTTTCTGTCAATTACTGCACATTTGTTCACCTCATTGCCTTCTAGGATATTATTATGGTATGCAAACTTTTTCTTTCATGATAACTAGATCTGGAATACAAGCTATGTAACTGTTTTAAACATAATGCTTACATTCTAATTCTGGAATTCATTATGGATTTACTCAAAGGATATATATTTAATAGATAATTCCAGGAATTTTTTTTAAAGATGGTGACAGCAGTTGCATGTGTTTGTAGATGGTGCTCCGAAGTGTTGTGCAGAGAGGGTTTTGGAAAATTTGGAATGTAGTGATTGGTATGTGGAAGAGTGTGTAGAGGGAAAGGCAAGAAAGAGATAAGCTTGATAAACTAACTGAGAGGCTGGAATTTGTTGAAGAAATAGAGACATGAAGAAACTGATAAGGCCGAGAGCTGGAAGAGTGGAATAATCAGAAAGTGGCAGTTGTAAAGTGAGACGGTGAGTCGGAGCAGAGGAAGTGAATAATTTTACGATTGTGTGGCTTCCCTGGACTCCCCCTGGACTCCCCTGGCTGAAGCTAAACCTTAGTCTGAGAACCCAAGACTCAGCAGCTGCAACTGTGAATTGACGGTGTGGGTCATCTGATGGAGGTAGAGCTGACAGAAGAAAACAAGCTTCTCTTTCCTTTGTTGGCAGCTGGGCCTACTTGTGCTTAATAATGCTGTGGAGAGTGGCAGACTGTCGTTGGGATTTCCTGAGGTTAACTGGCAAGTGGGAACTTGGAACTGTGAACTTCATGAGACATTGACACAGCTGCTAAATATCTCGTGCAGCATAGCAGGCCTTCTGGCTATTTTTCTGGCTACTTTCTGCAATCTTGCTTCTGCAATCCTCTGAATGTTCTGTAATCGGGCTTGGGAAGGCTGCTTGGGGAATCCTGGGGCTGGAAGGGAAAGTTGAGTGAGAGGTTAGTGTATTGGTCCTTTCCCCCAGGTGAGAGCTGGGGAGAAGGAGTGGCTCCCTGCTTGGTGGGTGAGAGCAACTGGGCAGGGTACCATTTGTGCATTGAGTGGATGTATTCTGAGTGTTTTGGGAGATATGGGGGGGCTGGATGACCCCTATGCAGCAAATGAGGAAGGGGTGATATGAGTTTGAGGGTGCTGAGAGCAAGTGCTATAGTGCCTGTAAGGCTCACCTTTCCCCCAACAGCCTATCAGTGGGAGGAGGTTTTTCCCTTTTTAAGGAAGAGTGTTGGTTTTGGGGGATGGAATGGTTCTCAGGGAAGGCAGAGGAGAGCCTCCTATTTTAGTGGTGTTGGATAACGGGAGATATGGAAGACAAGGGGGGCAGCCATGGGAAACACCACCTTGGTGTTTAGTACCGATCTAGTGTTCTGCCCCCTTACATTCACCTCATTTACCTGGTCTGCTGATAATCACACAGTGACCCTCTTTAAGGTGAGCCAAGGTGGCCTGAAAGGATGCATTGAGAAATTTGCAGATTTTCTGGAAGACAAAATTGCTTGACTTCATTCCCAGTTAGATGCCAGCATGGTTGCTAGTCTGGTTGAACCCCTGAGGCAGGTTCTTGCCCAGTTATCTGGGAACGGTTTGGTCCTGTTCTTCCTGAGGAAGGGACAGAATCCTAGGGAGTATGCGTGCAAGCATTTGTGTTTTAGATCCATGATCCTCCTGGCTTGTGAAAGCTTCCCAGGAAGTAACAGGCGGGTGGATTCTGATGGTGATTAATGCTTTCCTACAGGAGGGGATGGTGCCACAGCACTTTAAGGAGGCTGTGGTCTGCCCTCTTTTTAAGAAGCAATCGCTGGACTCTACCTGGTAGGATAATTTCCGATCTGTCTCCAATCTTCCCTTTTGGGGGAAGGTTGTTGAGAAGGTGGTTGTACGACAGCTCCAAGGTTTCTGGATGAAACGGATTATCTTGACCCCTACCAGTCAGGATTCAAGCCTGGATTTGGGACAGAAATGGTATTGGTCGCACGTTTGGATGATCTTTGGCATCTATTTGACCTCGCGGGGCTTTCGATACCATCGATCATGGGATTCTTCTGGGGTGGCTTTGGGGAATGGGAACAGGAGGCCTTGTGCTGTCCAGGTTCACTTCCTTCATCTGCGGCCACTCTCAGTCAGTGTTGATAGGAGGGGAGAGATCCAGCCCTTGCCCACTGCTTTATGAGGTTCTGCAGGGCTTCTATTCAACATTGATGTGAAGCCGCTGAGTGAGATCATCCATCACCATGAACTGAGGTATCACCAATATGCTGATAATGCTCAGCAGTACGTCTCAGCCCGTAGTAAGTTAAGTGTTGCTGTGTCCTCCCTCTTGTAGTCCCTGGAGGCTGTTAGGGGCTGGATGGGGAGAAACGGCTTGAAAATAAATTCTTGCAAGACTGAGTGGCTTTGGGTTTGAGATTCATTGGCTCAGGGAGAATTGCCACCTTTGGTCTTGGATGGGGTGGCACTACCCCAAACAGACCCTGTGTGTAATCTAGGGGTTTTTCTGGACTCACAACTCCTGCTTGAAGAGCAGGTGGTGGTTGTGTCCAGTAGGGCCTTTGCACAACTGCGGGTTGTGCACCAGTTATGCCCTTTCCTGGACCAACAGTCCCTGCTCACAGTCACTCATCCCCTAGTCACTTCCTATCTTGACTATTGCAACACGCTCTTCTCCCTTGTAGAGCAGAATCTCCAGTTGATGCAAAATTCAGCAGCCCACATGGTTTTGTGCAGATCCCGGTGTGCACATGTATCACCTTTCCTGCAGGAGCTGCATTGGTTGCCGATTTGCTTCCGGGTGCAATTCAAGGTGCTGGTTGTCACCTTTAAAGCCCTTCATGGCTTGGGACCAGGTTATCTGAGGGACTGTCTCTTGCTGGTCACATCTACCCAACCCATCAGAGGGAAAGGCAGGGAATGTTGCGGGTCCCATCCCTGAGGGAGATACACCTGGTGGGGCCCAAAAAAGGGGCCTTCTCCGTGTTGGCTCCGTCTCTCTGGAACATCATTCCCCCAGAAATTAAAATGGCCCTCACACTAAAATTCTTCCAGAAGGCGTTGAAGACCTGGTTCTGCCAATGGACCTGGGGAATCCAGAGCGGGATGGAGCCCATTAAAGGGCTCATGTGACCTGCTGTAGAGGCAGGGGTGGGAATTGGGAAGTGATTTTGTTATATTGTACTTTATTAATTTATTTGATTCTTTTTGTTAGTTTTTATTGTTTTAAATGTGATTTTATATTCTGTAAGCCACTTTGAGTCTCCATAGCGTATAGGCAGCAATATAAATTTTATAAATAAATTGAAAACAATTTATTTGAATGACAGAATCAAAATATTCTTATCTTTCACACACACACACACACACACACACACACACACACACCACAAAAAACTTAAATGATAGATTAAGTGTTTATAGGACCATGTGTCAACTAAAAAAAACTTCTTTGGTCTTTTTAGTTGTTAGCAGAAAGCAGGGGGAAAACAGTGCATTCCTTAAATGCTTGAGATAATTGCTTTGGCAACCGAAGCTTCTGGCTTGCAAAATTATTATTGGAGCGCATGATTGATGACTCTTGGCTATGGATGTGTCTCATTGGAGAATACACATCCAGGGGGTGGGGGGTAGACCAAGGTCAAGGGTGAAATGAATGATGCGTCAAAGTCGGCTGCAACCGGGAAACGCCAACATGTCAACTCCTTATAAATCAATCTTTTTTAGATGCGGCTAGAGACTTATGATTTGAATGGGGGTGCATGTTGGAGTCTTGACAGCGTGGTGGTTCAGTGGTTAGAATTGCAGGCTAATTCTACTGACTCCTGGCTGCTGGCAGTTTGATTCTCAGTGGCTCAAAGTTGACACAGATTTCCATCCTCCCCAGGTCGGTAAAATGAGGACCCAGATTGTTGGGGGCAATATGCTGACTTTGTAAACTGCTTAGAGGGGCCTGTAAAGCACTGTGAAGCACTGTATAAATTTAAATACTATTGCTATTTTATTTTAATATACTGTATGTTTATCATTCACTGTGTTTCTTTAAATAGAAACTACTGATTTCTCAAGATATTCTACTTTTGTAGAAATTCTTTAGCTTATTTTAGATCCAACCAGGTAAACACAGCCAAATATGTATGCATATAACACACACACACAGCATTGGTCCTGACAAAACCTAGGCTTGTAGTTTAGCAGTAAGTAAGTTATATGCTATCACATGGATGTTATTTATGAACAAATCAGGGAAAGAGCTTCCATGTTTTGTTTCTCCAACCCCCAGTCAGTAATAATCCAATAGTGTATACCAGCAATTTTGGAATAGTGTAATATGCAAACAAATCCAAAGGTACTTTTGTTTGTTATTCTACGTTTTACATTTGCTCAAGCAAATGCAGTATCTCCAGAATTCAAGATATGCCTATTATTTAACTCATTTATTTTCAGTTTGTAATTTATTTTTTTAAAGCTTAATATTGTATATTAAATATTCAGTTGTGCATGCTCCCCAACACCCCATTTTGGCTGCAAGAGGCACCACGGGCCAGTCCTTTGCTATTTCCAGGCCGGCCCTGCCGGCCAGATTTAAGCACCCTATGGGGCTGGATATGGCCCATGGGATTTGAGTTTGACACTCCTGCCTTAGATAGAAAGAACAGGAGGAAATGAACACAAATTTTACTGCGTTAATGGCAGTTATGTGTCTCATGTCAAACAAAACTGTGTACCAGAATTCTTGTGTTTTAACGTTTACTTTCCTTCTCATCAGGGCTCTTTCGTTCTTTGGATTATATTTTTGTAGCCCAGTTCTTGGAGGAAGATCTGAAGCCATCTTGCAATACACAGTGTGGGCAATATCTGATATTTTTTTCATGAGAAACTCTCATGTTTTTGCATGTTATCTTGAAAATCAAAATAACCATGAAGGGTTTAGTGCAAATAACAGTGAAAAATAAATAAATAAATCACTTTCCATGGAAAAGTTAAAATAAAATGTATAGTAATGTAATGTACATTAATTCAGGAATTATGTTACAATATGAATAATAACAGATGAAATATCTAGATTTAACCTATAACTTCTGGTGGGCAATAAATCTTTGGGGAAACTCATGATAAATTTTACAGGAACAGAAAAAAAATGTCTCCAGATTTGGGGTTATTTCTCCATTTCAAGACTTTTTTACTTCATGAGAAACATATTTCTAAATGGAATAGGTCTTTTGTTCATGGAAGAGCACTCATTGAATCATATACTATTTTTCATTGGAAGCCAAATCCAAAGACTCATTTAGATTAGATGAATCATTTTAGATTAACAGAGTTGGAAGGGACCTTGTAGATTGTCTAGTCCAACCCCCAACCAAGCAGGAGACCATTTCTGACAAATGGCAGCCCAATCTCTTGTAGAAAGCCTCCAATGATAAAGCTCCCATAACTTCTGAAGGCAAGCTGTTCCATTGGTTGATTGTTCTGTCAGAAAATTTATCCTTATTTCCAGGTTGAATCTCTCCTTGATCAGTTTCCATCCATTATTCCTTGCCTGGCCTTCAGGTGCCTTGGAAAATAGCTTGACCCCTTTCCTCTGGGAATTCATGGCATTCATATTTAAAAAATAAATACAAAATGAAATAGAGATATAGCACATAAGGGAAAAGATTAACAGATAAGTTCCACTACCTATCATCCACCAGCTAGGGTCTTTTCTGAAGAAAGGCACGCTTAGAGCCAAGTAAATCTTCATAAAGAGAATATTAATGTCATTAAATAGATCAAGGATAACTTGTTGAGTAGGAACTTTCCCTTTGTATCTGTAATCTTAGCTGTTGCAAATTCCCATAAAAGCATTTCATAGAGCAATATTTTTATTATTATCTTTTCACGATAGTGAAGATTCTAACATTTGACATTAAACCAACCTGCCAAAATATTTTTGAGTCTAGTTTCTTCAATGAATGAAGTCAGTTTGGCTGGAATGATTAAGTCAATTGGAAATAGTCTTTATTGTTAACCTCCCAAAATCCAAATTTTGTGTGTTGTGATTATTGACACTTGAACATAATGACAGTAAGACTTAATTGTGGAGAACAGCCTTAAAATAATCACCCTCTTCTCTGAACAGTACAGCATAAGGGATATGTCATATTTATAGCTATACTGAAATCAGAGGGTTGATACAAATTATAATTTTTAAGAAGATTAGTGTCTTGTTAGACACTTTTATTTTTTTAAATACAAGGATAATAGAATGTACACTACTATCTATGTAAAATACCTCACTTAGGTACAAAAAAATTCTACGTTCTTTTTTCCAACCTATCCTAAGAGCACTATGCCTGCATTCTTTTTGAATAGGAAACAATGAATTCTTCCATTAGGAAAGGAACTTAAACGTATTTGTGATACTCATAAATAGAACTCAGACCTCGAATTTCTTTGGTGTAGTATCAGAAATATTTCAGACATTGCTGCCAGTTTTTCTGCCCTCAGATTCAATTCTTTTTTTCTTATTTTTCTTTTATTAACAGGGATAGAATGATATTATTAAAAATGGAGCAGGAAATCATTGATTTTATTAGTTATGAGAGGTAAGTTTGTTTTCAGTACTTGTTTCTTGTTTTGTGACATATTTTGCTTAAAACATATCAGAAATATATTCTCAAAACAATTCTATTGTATTCTTAAGAATATAATTATTAATATATGTTTATCAGCGTACAGTAAAGGGAATGTTATATATTCCTTAATCGGTATATATTGACTTTATTACAGCTCGTCCTGCCCATTACAGTTGTAAGTTGTAACAGTTGTAAAGTGGTTCATCATGTGACCAGTCTTATTTTACAATTTTTTAAAAAAATTAAACACTCTGTTCAGTTTGGTCTATAATCAGTTCATTATATCAAACATTATAAACATCATATAAACATCACATTTGTAACCATTATCTTCTAAGCCTATTAATCATAATGTTTGCTTATCCTAATTATTCAATATTCATTGTTTAATTACACATTTACTTCATCTTTACCTATGTATCTTCCTTAATTCTGAATTTCTAACTTCTGCTTCTATTTTCTAACCATTAATAAAGTAGTTCCCAAGTTAAAAAAATACTATTTTCCCCAATTCTAATTTCTATAATCATTCATAATAAAACAACTCTTGTTGCTGTACCTATCCCTTATCTCTTGCCTGTTTTCATATCTCAACTCTTACTGACTTCTTGGCACATCTCCCATATTTCTTCCTTGGGATCTTGTATCTCCTTATGTCTTGTATCTTCTTATACTTCTCACTTGGGATCTTGTATCTTCTTATATCTTGTGTCTTCTTTTATCTTGTATCTTCTTATATTTCTCCCTTGAGATCTTGTATCTTCTTATACCTGTCCTTTCTTCTGATCTTTCTATTTTCTTGTCTACTTCTTGGATTTCATGTTCATTATTCAATGTCATTTGCTCATGGTTTTCTGGTCTCATAACTATGTCATTTATCAATTCCTTTATCTCCCTATGATTCCTTATCATCATTTCCTGCGTGCCTTGGAGCATCAATAATATTTCTTTTAGTAATATACTTATTTTCCCTTGTAGTTGTTCCATTTTGTTTTATTTTAATGCATTAAAAATTACTCAATAATTGTGATGACCCATAGTCTCTTAAAATAACCCCAAACCCAAAACATACATTGAAGTCCGGTAAGGCCTTCAACTTAACTTCACTGTTTTATTAGGCACAGTTTAAAGTCACAAAAGTAAATAATGAGGCAAAAAGAAAACCAAAACAAACCGCATTGACGAGAGTTCCGAAGCAAGCCAAGATAACTAATCATAAACTCCAGGAAAATAACTGAGGAGAGTCCATGGGAAGAACGCCAGCAAAGATAAACCTCTTTCAAAGTAAACACTTAACTTTGACTCCAGCAAGCCACGAGGAGGATCATGGTAATCTCCTCTTGAGTAGACCTCGCTTTTCCCTGATCCTCTCCTCCCTGCGTGACCTAGGATGGATAGGGGATGGGCCTGGATCCTCCTCTTGACTGCTCAGTCGGCCTCTGCCTTTCCCCAGCCTCCTCCACCACCTCTGGAGCCACACTCCCACTCCCTGTTGGCTGTTTCTCCTCTTCCTCAGAGTCAGTCTCCACCAGGGGCATGACAATAATCTATCAAAATCCCACTATCCCAATTGTTCATCACACCAAGAAAGCCAATATTAGAACAGTTCATAAAATAGTCCCATTGCAACCTCCACTTAATTTCAAAACAAATTCAAACTGTTTCACACTCTCACCCTGTCCAGCATATTTGTAATCCTCAAGGTTCTAAAAGTTAAATGTTTTCACAGTCTGTCTCCAAACACCGTATAATCAATTTGCAGGTATTGTTCAGTGCAAGGGTCGCCAAACCTTTGGACCTCAGGGACCACCAAACTTATGGTTTTAAATCCCAAAGACCACTAATACGAATTTTTAGGATTCAAATTTTTTAACAACTGGTTCTGTGGGCATGGCTTGTTGATCATGTGACCGGGCAGGCACGGCTAGGTGGTCATGTGACTGGGTGGGTGTGGCTAAGTAGGCATGACTAGGTGGTCATATGACTGGGTGGACGTGGCCAATTTTAGCAGTCCATTTTGCTTTTGTTCTTCCTAAGGCGTACTTGCTGAACCCAAGGCATCTATTTATTTAATAAGACTCCTGCAAGGGAAAAAGAGCACAAATTTTCTTGCCACTTGCCCAACTTCAGTACAACAGCAGTTTCAGGCTCCTTAAAATAGGTCATTAAAAAAGAATAAAACAAACAGGATTTCCTTCAAAATAACTCCTGATCATATGTTTCAGAATACCACACAATAAACCAGACCAAGAACTGCACCAATTTAGACTGTAACTAAAAACCCCAGATTTGGCAAAGAGAACCATTCTAAAATCCATCAGCATTGCATTTCTCTGAATGCACCATATACCTTTATCTTATGTATTGTAAATTGATTTCTGATGCATTTAACTCATGGTATGACCTTTTGCTAGTACTTCCAGCAATATTAATTTGTATTTCTTACTTTATTTAAAATGAACAGATTTCAAATTATATAAACCCTATTGAGATTGTCTATAAGCAAACACAACCCCCACCGATTTGCTCTCTCACCCCCCCCCCAATCTGCTTTGAAAGGTAAATATTATATATAAAGTAAATGTTACAGGCAATACCTTAATGCTGATGAAATCTAAAAGAGGCCAGATCAGGAGGACTGACCAGAAAGTGACTCCCTGATAACTAAGGACAAGTCCTCAAGTTTCATTTAGAATTGGAGGGATGACAGAGAGAAAAAAAGAAAACATTTAAAGTTAAATGGGCTTACTCTGGTAATTACACAGCTAATCAACTTAGGTCCCGGAATACAGGCAATGAAACAGCAACAAAAACACACCCACCTCCTCTCCCATGTGGCTGCTTCTAAACTAAAGAAGGCTAGCAATTGAGCAGGAAAGCTAGAGTGGGAGAGATCTTTATCAAAATGTTCACCTTAGAAATCACACACACACAAACACATGCAAAGCAGACGAATCCAAAGTCTGGACCCTTACAAGCCCAATCACTACCTCCTCCATTCCCACCTCCTTTTCTTCCGAATCCAAAGGAAAAAGCTCCCAGCCCAGAAATGACGCTCCCAGAGCTGGAGGAAAAAAAACCTGGATGCAAGGGGGCATGCATAAGCACACCAACGTGCCTACTGTCCCTTTCCTGTTGTTTCTTTTTTTTCTTACTCGTATCCATTTCATGTATTCATAACCATGTTTATACTTATACCTGTTATCTAATAATCGCTTGACAAAATAAAATAAATAAATGAATAAATAAAACTTTAAACACTCAGGGAGAAACCCCCTCCTCCTCTCCCACATGGCTGCTTCTGAACTAAAGAAGGCTAGCTAACAAAGTGGGATAAATCAAATGGCAGCCAGTCAATGTCAGCCCTGGGGATTTAAAGTTTGGGCTCCCCTTTTTCTTCCTTCCTTCCTTCCTTTCCAGCGAGCATCAGAAACTGCTCTTGGTTTGCAGGGTCTGAAATTTACTTTCCCTTTCTGCCTTTGCCCATTTCCCAGCCAAGGGATGCTGCTTCTTTTGCTACCTCTCCACAAAAAAACCTCTCTTTCTTTCTCCTTCCTTCCTTCTCATCTTCCTTCCTTCCTTCCTTTCCTGCCTGCCTCCTTCTCATTCCCATCTCATTCCGGAGTTTGGCAAAGCTGCCAATGGCCATGCTTACCACGGCTGTGACTTTTCCATGTGGACTGGGGTTGTCGTGTCCGTCGCAAGGAAGGAGACTCGGAGCCAGTGACTTTAGTTCAGCTCATTTATTGATTCCCGAGATCGGCTCAGGTCCGAAAGAAAAACGGCGGCTTTTATTCTTTGGCCGTGGCGGCCGCGGCCAATGGCACTGCTTTGAATCTCCCGCGATCAGTTTCCACCAATCGTGGGAGATTCGCAGCGGGTCAATCAGTGCGGCTCGCTCGACCAATCAGCTCGCCGCGCGTCTTGGCCAATCACTGCGCGATTCTACAAGAATGATAATGACCGTACAGAACACCCCTCCCCTCTTGGTAGGGTCCTACGTAACGTAGTCCCGTAAGTAGGCGGGGCTACGTACTTGTCTACTTGACCTGCGCAGGTTAGTTGGTGCTTGGCTCCCGGCCGGTTTGGTCGGGTTCTGTGTTGCTCTCTGCCCTGTTGATGGGACCGTCTGGAAGGCTGAGCCGGGCCTTTCGTCGCAGCTCCCTCCCGGTCTACCCGGTCTGGTTGAGCTGCGGTTTCCGCTCCCGCCTGGTCTTTCCGGGCTGGTTGAGCTGGCCTGGCTGCTTCTCCCTGGTGAGGTGTCGAGCTGGCTGCTTGCCGGTGAGTATTCCTGGTTTTTTTCTCGTGGGTTTTGGTCCTTGGGGCCTTCCCTCCCCTCTTGGTTTGTGTTGGGGGGGTTCCCTTCTGTGTTTGCTTCTGTTTGCGTGTCGGTTGTGTTTCCCGTGGCTGTTCTTGACCTTAATTGGTCGATGTGTCGTTTCCATGCTCGTCCGTCGGTTGTCTGTAAGTGGTACGAGCGTGGACCTGTCACTTGGGTTATGGTTGCTGGTACCCAGAGTGGGTCTCCGGTGAGGTTTTTCGCGTATACTGTGTCGCCTGTTTTAAATATTCGGTCTTTGCTTGAGGAGTTTGGGGGTTTTTCTGGGCTGTATGTGGGGTGCAGTCTGTCGAGTGGGGACCTTAATTTTCTCCCCATCAGTAGTTCTGCCGGGCTTTTATTGGTTGTTGTATTCGGGGTTATGTGTTGTATGAAAAGCATTTTGTTTATTTTCTCTTGGATTTCCCCGTTTTCTATCTTTTGGATAGTTTTTTTTGTAAATTGAACCATCCGTTCTGCCCTCCCATTTGCCGCCGGATGTGCCGGCGCTGTCAATGCGTGTCGTATCCCCCGCTCCACTAGGAATTTTTCGAATTCCAGCGAGGTAAATTGGGGCCCGTTGTCGGATACAGTGACGTCTGGGAGGCCGTGGGTTGCGAATAGTTTGCTGAGTTCCTTGGTGACGGCCT